TTTTTTTTTTTTTTTTTTTTTTTTTTTTTTTTACTTCCCTCCCCCTCCTCGATCACGGACCAAACGAAATTCGGTAACCCCGCTTACGTAACTAAACTAACGTTTACGTTTATATCATATCGTTAATCACTACTGGCTTTTTTTTTTTTTTCTTATCTTTTTTTTTATTTCTCTAGACTCTCGCGGTATTATGTTGATCGAATTTAATAAATTCAATTCGACGCGTTAACGGCGCGCGTTAACTTGTATTTCGTTTATATTGAATAATTTTTCACTTTTCCAGACTTCCTTTTTCTTTTTTCTTTTCTTTTCTTTTCTTTTTTTATTCTCTTATTTTTTATTATTTTAAATCGCACGAATACAATACACAATTTCGCTCAGCGTTCTATTATTTCTTATCATTCGTCTTGATTTTTTCCACCCCAAACCCCCCCGAGACCATCAACCCCCAACCCTCCCCGATTTTCTTCTTATATTAGTTTTTCGTTTTATCTTTTCTGTAAAGTTTCATACGTAGAAGAAGTAGTTTTATATTCTCTCTCGTGTGTGGCATATTTTTTTCAATTCATTATAACGTTTCGTATTATCTAATCGGAGTCCAGTCTTCCTAGACGAAGATCGCATATTAAAATCCTAGATTTTATTCGGCAGATTTATTTATTTATTTATTTATTTATTTATTTATTAATTATTTCTTTTTTTTTTTTTCGATTCTTATCTAAAACACACATCCTTTCAGATTTCATTTAATTTTCGGTTAATTAGATCGGTTTAAAATATACGTTGATGACGATGATGATAATAATGATGGTGATGGTGATGATGATGATGATTACGACGACAATGATGATGAAGATGATGATGATGATTGCACGATGGAAGGGTTTACGAAAGGTGACAAGATGAATTTTTGAGTTTTCCTCAAATTACGCGTTCGGTATTGCTTTGTAAAAAAAAAGAAAAGGAAAAAAAAAAAGAAAAATAAGAAAGAAAAATAATCTATGTGTGTACATTAATTTCGTACCGTCTTTCAACCCCCACCCCCATTCACTCCCCTTAAATTCGACGTTCGTTTTCATGGGAATAAAGTTTCATAAAAGCAGGATATGCCTGGGTGGTTTTTTTTTTTTTTAATTTACGCCCAAAAAAGAAAAAAAAAGAACATTTCTCTCTCTCTCTCTCTCTCTTTCTTTTTGTTTATTTATTTTGCGATAGTGAATCAGTCGGTTAATTGAAAAACTTTGAAAAGGAAGAAGTATCAATCCAGCAGCAGCAGCAGCGCATGAAATGCGAGCTACGCAAAATGCAAATTACTTTTCTTTTCGTTCCTTTTTCTCTCTCTTTTCTTTTTCTTTTTGTTTTGTTATTCTTTTTCAAAACACAGGTACACTTCCAACGATTTATTGTTCGTCGCACTATTTCGTTTAGTTTTAGTTTTAGTTTCGTTTCTTTTACAGAGACATTCTCGTTCCCTTTCTGTGACTTCTCTTGTCATCTCTCATCAAATTATTTTTATATTATTTTCAACGTGTATGCAGCAGTTTTCATTGCGTTATTATTATGTGTATTTTCTATGATTATTCAAGATCCCTGGTATCCCTTAACAACTACTAGAAGTATACAGATATAAATTAATCACGTGTCGTAAATTAAAAACTAATGACTAAATCTTGTTTTTTCTTCTTTTCTTTCTTTCTTTCTTTCTTTCTTTCTTTAAAGAACTTTGTACAGTGTATACAAAAGTTTGATATGATAATACTTACATCTTACATTTTTTTCTCGTTACTATTTTGATACTATATATATATATATCTTATATAATATACATAGTATATATATGTAATATATAGATTTATTATATACTATATATATTATATAGCGTTTATATTCGGTCAGTCAAATAGTCTGTTAGTCAGTTTGTTTTTTGTTCCGTGCATAAAAGTGGCTAATAAACAAGTCGTTTACTTTCTCTTCAATTCTCTTCTCTTCTCTTGGGTGTTGCTTACACCGTTTTCCGTTTTCGTGTATACATAAATAGGTACGTGTATGTACATGTGTATGTATATGCAGAGCTAACTCAAAGAGAGATATGAAGCACCCCTAGATCGAGGTTTGGTTTTAAGCGTCTCTGATTAAAATTTTCTTTTTTTTTTTTATTATTATTATTATATATTTTTATTTTGAAACAATATATCATTTTTCTAGTATGATAAATCAATTAATATGAAAATGAAAAAGGAAAAAATTTGATAAAAAAAATATATAAATAAACGACGCTCCTTGCAATTGGGGAATATTGCACGTACCAGCAAAACGCTTTTCACTATCCGATTAATTTTTTTCTACGTTACTTTCAACCCCATGGTTATATTGCGCGTCCTAGGCTAGTGCATTTTGTGCCTAAGCTCTGAGTCGGCCCTGTGTATATGTATTTTAATGTAATATGCGTATGCGTATGCGTATGCGTGGCGTGTGCGTGCGTTGGAAGAATTATCAATTAATTTATTAATTAATACATCACCACAAAAAAAGCGCGAATCATATCGCTTTTCTTAATAAGATTTCAAAATTTTTCAAATTCTTCTCCCTTTCTTTCTTTCTTTTTTTTTCTTCTTTTTCTTTTTTCTTTTTTTTCTCTTTTAATCTCCTTATGATTTTAGGAACATCATATCCAAAATAATATGTATTCGTTATTTGTCGTGGCAAGAATGTACAAGCTCTCGAAAATAAATGCCACGTCTTACTTTATCGATCTATTCAAAACAAAATTTCTCTTTTCTCCGTGTGCGAGAATATCGTGTGAGAACGTAAGACGCGCTTGGAACATTTTCTCGTACGTATAACCCTTTCTTCTTTTTTTTTTTTAATATATATAATAATATTAATAATAATAATAATAATAATAAAAAAAATAATAATATGATAATAATAATGATAATAAAGATAATAATAATAATAATAATAATAATAATAATAATAATAATAATAATAATATTAATGATAATAATCCTACTACAACTTTCGTTCGACCGGATAACGTAATATCAAGTATTTGAATTTCGCGCCAGCTCGAGTTCGGCCATTTTGGATAACTTTAATGAAATTACACGATGGAGAGATACATCCGAGGTGTTCATTAGATTTTCTAGAATACTTCTTAAAACTCGAAACGATGTTACTTTTAAAACACTTTTAAAGAGTGTAACGTGGTTTAGCTGGTAAAGATTGGTGTATCCAAGAATCGTCAAACTCTCTCTCTCTCTCTCTCTCTTTCGGAAAGTTTCTCTTGGTATTTTCGAGAGTTTACCACAGGGCTGAGAACTCTGCCGAAAACTCAAATGAGCCGTTCAACATTCGTTTACCGACTAATACTATCTTCGAACTCGAGCAGACCGATTGTCGATTACTCTCACGTTCCCAGTCTCTCTCTCTCTCTCTCTCTCTCTCTCGCTCTCTCGCTCTCTCTCTCTTTCTGCACAAATAGCGCCCGTATCGAGAAAAACTTTTTACTATTTATATATTGCTCGGAAAGTTGGCCATGTTCCACCATTGTCTTTTATTTTTCTTCTTTCATTTCTTCTACTTCTTCTTCTTCCTCTTCATCTTCTTCTTCTTCTTCTTCTTCTTCTTATTTTTTTCTTCTTTTACACAGAGTCTTCTCGCTTATCTTTCTCCTTTCATCAATTGGTATAGGAAGATGTTTCTAATGAAATGCCTTAAAATACACGACAAACGAATTAGGATACTTAAATATAAATGCATTATCGTCATCGATCCCCGTCTTGTCGTTGGCCCTTCTTCTATTTCTCGCCTCGAAGAGAAAAGCCATAAATTCTTGGACTTTGTACAAGTAATTTAGATTTGAAAGCCCTTCTTCTTCTTTTTCTTTTTTTTCTTCTCCCGATGATAACCAACGCGATAATGTACATCACAAGTTGATTTTTCTTTTGTTTTTCTTGCTTTCTTTCTTTCTTTCTTTTCTCTTTTGTTAAATGAAACACGTTCGTGTACACGTGTTCGTCGTATCTATTTATTCGTTCGTTCGTTCGTGAGTCTTCACACTTAGAATAATGTGCCAGACAAATGATCCTTCGACCACGACCTCGTTGGTCAAGGCAGGTTTTGATAGATTCTTCTTTTCTCGTGTTCATACTTAGCTGTCGCGATGATCGCTAGGGCGATTAGGTTCTGAAACTCCCGTTGTTGGATTATTTGCACTCGCGAGGAGGCTGTTGAGTTTGTTATATCTTTGACTTCCTGAGCTACTCATCGTATTGGATGCTGAAGAACTGTGCTGGGGATAACTACCTGTTCTAGAGAAGCTAGGCACTTTGTCTGTAACAATAATAATAATAGACAAAATTACGTTAATGTTATTATCTCTAATTAGAAACTCGATTCTTGCATTTGAATATTGATGCGATGATTAATCATTCATTTATGAGTTATATTTTTTTATCTACTCTACATTTTTACATTTTAATTTCTATATTTAATTGAAAAACAGTATTTGTCTATAACAACAAGCTTCAGACAGCAGAAACTTTAATTTTGCATTCAGGACGTTCGGTATTACTCTGCTGCATTTGGCGATTGCCATTAACCAACCGACTTCGATTGGTCGAATCTTGAAGTAAAATTACACCAATTACCAATTAAACTACCAATTACCAATTATTACCAATTACATGTGGCGTTCACTGAATACTCGACTTCCTGAATGACCCCATTGTCTCATCTTTCGTATTTCCGTATAAATAAAGAGTCTGGACATGTCTTGGGAAAAGAAAAAAAAAAAACAAACGCGAGAATGACCGATCGAGAATTGTTTTAAAGTCGAGTTATAAAAATCGTATAGGAGAGAGAAAAAAGATATTATTATTATTATTATTGTGAAAATGATCAAATATTTAAGAATTATTAATTAATGTATGATAGGAGGGTGGGGGGAAGTTGGACAAGATGAAAACATAACGTTCTGATTTATGTTTTACCTTATCCAACTTCCCCTTGTGATAAATTTATTAATAATTGTATTTTTCGACGTGATAAAAACAACTAATTGATTTAAGAATTATATTATCAATAAATTTTCGATGAATTACCTTTGCAGCGATTATGCCTCGATCTGTCCTGCGAGCCGATGCTTCCACATTGCCTTTGTGGAATACAAGAGTAGTTGCTGTCGCTGCTATAAGCAGGAGACGATGCTCTGTTGTTTCTTCTACGTGGACTCTTGTTGTCCCTACTTCTCGATTCGCTTCTATTGTGAGCACATCCGGATTGTGCGAATTGATTGTTATATTCGATCGTATCGGCGTAAAGACAGCTTGATTCGGAGCAAGAGTAACACATGTCCGAGTGGGTGTTCGAATCGCAGGATTTTCTATCCCATTCGTCGTTTTCTTGTTGATAAAGATCTTCGCCGCGGAATATCGCATCGTTGCGTCTGTAAATATCGTCACTCATGGCGACTGAATGTTCTATATGAGGATTAGGATGATTGATACGGCTGAAAGCGTTGTCGTGATTTCTGTAATTGTCCGGGACGCCATTGTGATGACCGTAAATCACGGAACCACTTTCGTATTCGTTCTCTTGAGTTTTATAATCGTAATGATTGAAGCCTTGAGGGAAACAGGGTACCGGTGGTGGATTAGTTTGCGGTGGCAGTGTAGTGTATCTTCCACTTTGTTGCATGTTCGCGTGAGCTACTATGTCGTGCGGAGGTTGCCCAGTCCAGGGTGTTGGTGAGGAACTGAAACTGTTGCCTGCTCTGATAGGTGGTGTCGGTGGGCTTTGCGAATTGCACGATCCAGAACCATCTAAATCATTTTGAATGTTCCTCTTACCTAAGTGAGGACTGAACGAGACTTGTTGGTGATGCTGCTGTTGTTGCGATTGTTGTTGTGGCGGCTGCTGTTGTTGTTGTTGTTGTTGGATTCTTCCAGACAGCAATGTTCCCGAAGGAGGTGGGTGTTCCGGGGGAGGCGGTAGCATATCGCACCAATTGGGCATTGCTGTGCCGCTTGTGCTTACTGCACTTTGGGGATCGTTTGATAACGGTATCCTGTATTGCGGTCTTCTTTGTATATCGGCGTTCTCATCGGTGTACACGCTGCTAGTGTTATCGCTGCTGGGTGACATAGTTGATTTGTTGTGTTCCTGATTCGAATCCAAACTGGAGTAATCAGGTTTCATGCAAGAATCGCTGGAATTTGATTTCTGTCCGCTGGTTTCCATCGAGTCTGGGCTTCGATTGCCAACGCATAACGTGGTAGTAGCGTATGGTTCGGGTGGTGCTTGCAATTGTTTTCTGGAATTGTAAAACGTAGTCAAGTTGACTTCGGCGTATTCCGAGCCAGTCATGCTGACGATCCCTGGAGCAAGCATCTGCTGGTTATTTAACAGCTTAGTTTCGCACTCCTTATCGGTGGGACCCTGAAGAGTGTTCGAAGGTCTCCAGCCACGTTCCAACCATAAAGTGTCCTTATTCAGCTGACATATGTCGTTTGCCGTACTCACCGGAACATTTAAATGACCTAATTGTTTGCTCATCGCCTGTCTGCGTTTCACGTAAAGAGCACCCAAGAGAAAAGCGACGACAGCGAAGACCATCGTAATTACCAGTATTAGGAACCAAGTTTCTCTAACGATGGAGACGCTTCCGTGACTCGGATCTGTCCGAGGTGGAAATTGCGTTAATTGACCTGGATCCATATTTAGTAGAGTCGGATTTGAGAAAGGTCCTAATCCAACGCGGGTCAAACCAGCTACGCGTGCCGTGTAAAGTCCACCCGATGAGAGACTATTGATCACGACTGATGTCGTAGAAGCATTTAATGACATTTGACCTAAAACTTTATTACTGCTGTTGCTCTTTATTTGAATCTGTAAATAAGAGATACAGAAATTAAACAATTAAGAGAAACGTCGTTCTTATTAAACGTAAAATAAAATTCAATCCAAATCTCACTTTGTATCCTATCAATTGTCCATTCTGTGCATTCTTCGGGGGAGGTGACCATCGTACGAACGCCGAAGTTATATTGATCATACCAACGTGGACGTTTTCCGGTGCACTAGACGGTACATCCTCCAAAGTTGTAGCCAATTTCACATTGCTAGGTCTCCCTTCTATAGTTTTGTAGAATGGCACAAGGAAGAACTCGTAACGCGTGTACTTCTCTAAATTGGTTAGAACGTAACTAGTTGCACCAGCGTTTAATACAGTCACCATACGATATTCTGGTTTCTCGGTGAGTTCACGATACCGTATATAAAGACCCTCAACTAAATCAGCTGCGCCAAGTATCTAAAACACAAAGAGGAAGCGCGTTCAAGGATCGCTTTCAACCGGACGAAGGGGATTTGCGTTTGTCACTGTCCAAGTAACCGCTTTTGATCTCGAACTTACGTCCCACATAATTTTAACGCTGGTACTGCTCAACGGTTGGACTTCCTTCAAGTGCAGTATCTCGCTGTTAAGCCGATCCCTCGCGCGAATCAATTCTATCTGCGGTACCGTCCGTTGATCAAGGCTGCTCGTGTGAGCGACATCGGACAACGGTCCAGGAAGCGACAAGCCCTGACTATTTTCGGCACGCACTAGGAACACGTAGTTGGTGTCAGGCTTTAAATCCATTACCTGTAACAGGAAATGTTGATATTTATCATCGTCATCATCATCATTATTATTATTTATTATTATTACTACTAGTTATATTTATGGATGCATGGAAATACTCTAAAAGAGAATTTATTTCCTAATGAAACACAACAAACAGTTAATAATAAAAGAATCTTGATTTATAAATTGCACTTATTAATCAAATCAAATTAATTGATATGATACTTACGGTGTATGTATCGTCGGTTACACTGGTAGCTGCAACAACCCAACCAGTATTCAGATTGCTACTGAAGTACTCGATGTTATAACCAATGATTTTGCTTTGGCCCTCGTTGCCAGGGCTCCAAGTCAAAGTAACCGAGTTGCTTGTAGCGTTTATGATTCTAGGTTTACTCGGGCTCTGCGGCAATGCTGATATTTCCGGAGTTCTGTGAAAGGTCGTCGTCGTGCTAACCGTCAATGTGGCAGACCAAGATGTATTTCCAGATTCTGAGCTTGCTATACAAGTATATAAACCAGAGTCGCTCATTTGAAGATCGTCGATAAACAACGTTCCATTGTTGGCCATCGTGATACGATTTCCTAATTGGATGAGAACACCGTCCTTGTGCCAGTGTACCTTTGGGGTTGGAGTACCAACTGCACGGCAGGGTAACGTAGCAACGCTTTTAACAGGAAGCGTCTGATTTGCAGGACCCAACTCGATTATCGGAGGTGGTATATCTTCAGCAGACATCACCTTTTTTTTTTAACAGGAAAAAACGAGTCGTTTTAGCATCACTTCGTTTCGTTTCGTTTTATTTCGTTTTATTTCAAAGAGATAACGAGTTTAAGTTAACTCGTATACAGGTGTAATAAAGTCTTTGTCTCCATTGTTATGATACCTTTAGAGCGTGCACCTTTAGATTATTGTTACCTCAGGTGTCGAGGGCTTACCTGAAGGAATACAGTCGCCGTACTTGCACCAGCTTGGCTGATGACGCTGCACACATAATGGCCCTCATCCTTCCTTATCACACCTTTTATGCGCAAACTTCCGTCCTGAGTGACCGTATATCGTTCCTGATAAGTGTTTCCCGGAAACATCAGCTCCTGAGAGCCCTCGCGGGTCCAAAATATCGAGGGCTTTGGAGAACCACGAGCGGAACACGAAAAGGACACATCCGATCCAGTACTAACAGTTTCGTCTTTTGGAAAATTGATGAATACTGGTCTCGCTGTGTTTAAAAAAACAACACAAGGATAATATATTCAAATTATAATTTTAACTCTGAACCTTTCTTCAATTATTTTCAAAGCGATTCGTCGTCAAACAATTGTTCTTTTTTTTTTTTATCTTTCCATGAAAATAAAAAAATAATTTATAACGACAGCAGAACAAGGGATTTATCTTGTTTAAAGAAAAAAATTATTAACGTTATCGTGGTGACATTTAAGTAAGTAAGTAAGTAAGTAAATAAGTAAGTAAGTAAGTAAGTAAGTAAGTAAGCAAACGCTAAGCCTTCGTATTCTTCGACCGGTTGTTAGAATGCATTACGGAAAGAACTAGTAAATTTACAATAGCTTGGCCTAGAGTATACAGATACCGGTTTCGAAGTATCGCAAACGTGTCCATTTATTTTTAGTATCTCCATGACGCTAATGACTCTTTGGTAAAAGATTAAAAATGAAATATCTGACTATTTTATGCGAATATACGAACGAACGAACTGGTCCTCGTTGTTGACGTTGTAAGAACTATTTCCGAGACAATGAGTCAAGCCCCCTCCTATCCTTCCCTCCTCTCTGCCAATCGATTAATTTCTATTTATACTCACAATGAATTGTAAGAACTGCACTCGCCGAAATAGCCCCGACGTCGTTCTCAGCGTCGCAAATATACGTTCCCTGATCCTCGGGTGTTACCCTCTCGATGCGCAAACTTTTGTCATCCAATATGTGGCCCCGGCCAATCGGCATTTTTCCATCGTTTCTACGCCATAAGATTTCAGGTGGTGGGTCCCCACCAACCCGACAAGCAAATTCCGCGGTTTGATCCGTCAGAATAGTTTGGTTACTTGGCATGGCAGTGAAATATGGTTTCACTAAAAGAACCAATTAATCGATTTCATTGATTTTATTTTATTCGAAGAGTAATATCAAGTATCGGATTAGATCTATTAGAGTGTCCTCCCATAAGTCTTGAATTTTTGTCACGGTGTTTCATATAGATTTTAATATATCACTTTCATTTGAACATTGAAAACATATTTCATTTGATACAATGGACTTTTTAATCCGGATTTATGAATTACATTCTATAGTCTGTTGATTAATTTTCTCAACTGTTTTACTTTTTCTTTTTTTTTTATAATCAACATTATAGAATGAACAGATTTTTTATGCTAACATTATTATGATATTGTACATACTCAAATCGATACCAACATTATTTTACTTCAATTACAATCAATCGAACCACAATCCAAAGAATTTCTATTTCATTTTAATAAAGCCAACAACAATCAAATTCAAAAAAGATATCAATAGTAATCCATACCGTGTACAGTGAGTAAAGCAACGTTAGATTCCTTAAGTCCGACCATGTTTTCGGCAACGCACTGATACTTCCCGTGATCCGCTTGTCTTACGTCGGAGATCAACAAGTTTCCACCGTCGACGAGAGTAATTCTATAAAAAAACAAAAATAAAACAAACGAACGAACCAAAAAAAAGAAAAAACAGAAATGAAAAGGGTTAGCAAAAAGACAAACCGAAAGGTCGGGGGGGGGGACTGAAGAGAAAAAAGTCATTGGGGCAGCAGCAAAATCGTTTAGATCGATTGGTTCATCATGGAAAAACATGGGGAATGGAAATTACTCTCTTTTTATGAGAATGACAGAGGTGATGGTAGGTTGGGAGGAAGGTGGAGGGTTTTAAAGAGAGATGGGACGACGATTGGGAGAGGAGGGGGTCAGGGAGGGGGTGGGGGGAAGGGGGGGACACAACACGCACGTAGAATGTCACCGTCGGACGGACTACTAATTAACGAGTTCGGTGAGAGAGGTTCGAAGGCATCATGGGAGTGTGAGAGTGACTAAATGAGTGAGTGTGAGTGAGTGAGTAAATGAGAGAGAGAGAGAGAGAGAGAAGCAACGAGGCAGCATTAAATCAATCGCTCCTCGATTACACCCTTTAATTTATAGCGCCCGTTAATTTCGCTGTCGACGAGAGATCGTGTTTCCTCGGTGCTCTTCGAACGGGGCATTTAAGCGCAGCAAAACCCGCGCAAATGCTGCTGCTGCTTGCATAGTGCACTTGCACAGTGCACTTGCACAGTACAGTGTGCACTCTCTCTCTCTCTCTCTTTCTCTCTTTCTGTCTATCTGTCTGTCTGTTTCTCTCACTCTCACTCAGTCACTCTCTGCGTGCTAACGTCAGAAACGTGCGTGCTAAACGTAACCGGATTTAATTCCTACTACTCCGAGTCTAAATTATCGTCCGTTCGATATATATATATATGTGTATATGTATATGTATATCCGTTTGTTGTTTCTATCGGAATAGGGCTTGGAGGAAACTTTTGACGATATTGATTTTTCGGAGGTTTAAACGGTTCCATCGAGCACTACGAATTGAACCCTGGATTTTCATCGATAGAGGCTTACATTTTGTTTTCTTTTTTATCTTTTTTTCTCTCTCTCTCTCTCTCTCGCGCGTGTTTTTTCTTTTTTTTCCTTTACTGTTGATTTTGTAATTTTCTTTTTGTTTTTTATTTTTTCAAAAATGAAATCGTATTTTATTAAGATATACAAAAAAGTATCGTTATTATTAAAATGATATAAGTAATACTACTTATTTATATATATATATACGTAAAATAGAAAATCAATGAGGAAAAAATAATTAATTTTCCTCGTATTTATAGAAATACGAAATTATCTAGCTGTCCGTCAAAGTTTTATTGATTTTTGTTGTTCTCTTGTATAAAATCATTGACACGGAGAGGGGGTCTGGGAAATTTATGAATTATTCTTTTAATAGAACTATAATAGGAATATTAATTCGAAGACATGAAGGACGTTTTCTGACACGGTTATCGATGGGGAATGCGTGCAGGGAATGGACAGGACGTCGAAATTCAAGATAGTGAAGATATATATATATATATATATACTGACATAGAGTGAGGGGAAGGTAGAGAATGGATGATTCGGTAGTACTCACCGTTTGTTGTTTTCCAAGTCTATAACGTGACCGTTCCGCTTCCAATGGAGGGTTGGTTCCGGATGACCTCTGGGTGGTCCGCATTCTAGCATGGCGGTTTCTCCAGCAGCCACCCTCGTGTTCTGCGGTTCTGTCCGAAACTCGTCTCGTAGTACTGCAATCATCCAAATGCACGAAGCATTAAAGCATTGGTAGGTAGGTAGGTTGGTAGGTAGGTAGGTAGGTAGGTAGGTAGGTAGGTATGTGTATGTGTATGTGTATTATCGATCGATGATTCTCCAACGATTTCTCCTTCTATCAATCTACTATCTTTCTCTCTCTCTCTCTCTCTCTCTTTCTCTCTTTGACGAAATTCGAGAGATTCGTCGAATATTCGCTTTGTCCCGAAAAATATTCATTGGTATATATGTGTATATATATGTTATACTTTATATAAGATTCTTATATATGTTAGTATGCATTATACGTGTAAAAGGTGGATTCAACAAATGTTGCTACAATCCTGAATAGGAATGATACCTTTTAAGAAATAATAAAAATCGAAATAGTGACGAAATCTTTTGTCTTATATCTAATAAAAAGTAAATCTTTATGTATTAGTTGGCTTATCCCCCCGTTATCCTTTATCCCGGGCAATGAAAATATGCAAAATAAATATGAATACATTTGTATATTTCAAAGATTATTATATTATATTCTCGGGTATAATTCGTAAGATCGAGATCTATCGATAATTAAATATAATATGTAAAATTTACAATATATATATATTATATTTTCTTCTCACTTATTTTTCATATTTTCAACTTTTGCGCGTTTGTAGATTTACATGGTGGTTGGGAATTAAGAGTAGGGGAATGGTGAGAAGGGGGAGGCTGCTAACAGGTAAACGAAAATTGGAAACAAAGTGTAAGTCTCGTTTTATATTCAAACAAAAAGTGAAAACGTTGTTATGCGAGATGAAAGAAACAAAAAAAAAAAGAAAAAGAAGATAAAAAAAAAGAAGAAAACATTCGTAGCAAAAGGAGAGGATAGATATCCTCCATCCTTCGGCGACGGGGGGAGTGGGGGTGGTGCGAAATTTCGAAATAATACCTATGAACAACCAACGTGTGCAACTCGCAACATTTATCTTCCCGGAACGGTATAAAACGGTCTTTAAAAGCGGCCGCGAATATACGCGTCTAGGGGCCCGAGTCAATGTAGAAATTTATTTGTCTGGGGTGGTGGTGGTGGTGGTGGTGGTGGTGGCGGCGGCGGCACGGCGAAAAAAAGAAGAAGAAAAAAAAAAAGTTAAACACGAGAAGCTGTTAGAGAGAAAGAGAGAGAGAGAGAGAGAGAGA